ATTCTACAAAACTTACAGACAGAGCATACAATAATAAATGCAGACATACATAGAAATAGAAGATACCAGCCAGACCTAATAGCACATCTAGAGAACACTCTACCCAGCAACAGCAGAATACACATGCTTCTCAAACGGATATGGGACACTCTCCAGGATGAACCACATGCTAGGCCATAAAATGAGTCTAAATTTAAAAGGACTGAAATCATACAAAGTATGTTCACCAACTACAATGGAAATTAATAACTGAGAACGAATCTGGAAAGTCACAAATATGTGGAAATTGAACGCACTCCTAAATAACTAATGGGTCAAAGAAGAAATCACAAGAAAAATTAGGACATACTTTGAGATAAGTGAAAAAAAAAATACAAAATACAAAAACTTGTGGGATGACACTAAAGCAATGTTTAAAGGAAAATTTATAGCTATAAATGCCTATGTTAAGAAAGTAGTTCTCAAATCAATAACCTCATTTTCTCTACCTTAAAACACTAGAAAAAGGGCTAAATAAACCCAAAACAAGCAGAGTGAGGGAAATAATGTTTAGACTAGAAAATTAATGAGATAATATTAAAGCAATAGAGGAAAATCAATGAAACTAAAAGTTGTTTCTTTGAAATGACCAATAAAATTGACATATGTTTTGCTAGATTAAGGAAAAAAATAGAGAAAACTCACATTATTAAAATCAGGAAAGAAAGGGGACAATATTACTGATCCTACAGAATGAAAAGGATTCTAAGGGGATAATATGAACAACTGTATGCCAACCAATTAGATAACTTATATAAATGGCCAAATTCCCAGAAAAAAACAAAGTACTGAAACTGACTCAAGAAGAAATAGAAAATGTGAGCAGACCTATCACAAGTAAAGAAATTGAATTAGTAATTTAAAAACGTCTCAGAAAAGAAAGTCCAGATGGCTTCGCCGGTGAACTCTACCAAATATTTAAAGAAGAATTAATATCAACTCTTCATAAACTCTTTCAAAAAACTGAGGAGGAAATACTTCCCAACTCATTTTATGAGGCTAGTATTACTCTCACATAAAAAGCAGACATGGACATCACAAGAAAACTACAGATCAATATCTCTTATGAATGTAGGCAAAAATCTTTAACAAAACACTAGCAAACCAAACCCATCAATATATGAAAATGATTATATATTGTGACCAAGTGGGATTTATTCCAGGAATAAGGTTAATTTAATATCCAAAACAGAATAGAATGACAAAAAAAACCTGACCATGCAGGAAAATAATTTGACAAAATCCAACATCCTTTCGTGAAAAAAACACTCAAACTAGGAATAGAAAGGAACCACAAACTGATAAAGGGCATTTATGAAAAATCCACAATTTCCATCATATTTAATGGGAAAAGATTGAATGCTTTTCCCCTAAGGTCAGAAATAAAACAAGGATGTCCATTCTCTTCACTTCTATTTAACCTGGTACTGGAGAGTTTAGCCAGGGCTAGCAGGCAAAAAAATAAATAAATAAAAGGTATCCAGATTAGTTTCAAAGGAAGAAGTAAAACTCTTTGCAGCCAGAATGATCTTGTATACAGAAAATCCTAAGGAAGTCACTAAACTATTAGAATGAATAAATAAGGTCAGCAACATAGCAGGAAATGAGGCAAATATAAATTTTGAATTGTATTTTTATATACTAGCAACGCATAGTCAAAAAATGAAATTAGAAAACAATTCCACTTACAAAACCACCAAGAAGAATAAAACACTTAGGAATAAATTTAACAAAATACAAAACTTGCACTCTGAAAACTAAAACATAGTTGAAAGAAATCCAGTAAGACCTATGACAATGGAAAATATCCCGTGGTCACAGATTTAGTATTGTTCAGATGGCAATGCCCCCAAATTGATCTACATATTTTACAATCCCCATAATTATTCTAGCTTCCTTTTTTTCAAAAATTGACAAGCTCATTCTAAAATTCGTATAGAAATGTAAGGAACCCAGAACAGCTACAACAATCTTTAAAAAGATCTAAGTTGGAGGCTCTATATCTCCCAATTTTAAAACTTACCAAAAAACTACAGCAATCAGTATACTGTTAGCCTCAGGATAGACAGAGATCAAGAGGACAGAACTGAGAGGACATAAATAAGTTCTTACATTTATGGTCAACTGAATTTTGACAAGGGTGGCATGACAACTCAGTAAGTCTTTTCAACAAATAGTGCAAAAAACTGAACTTGGACTCCCTCCATCCTTACACATACATAAATATTAACTCAAATAGATCACAGACTTAAATCTAACAACTAAAATTATGAAACTCATGAGATTCTACTTCATGCCTATTAGGATGGCTGTAAAAAGAAAGTTAATAAGTGCTGATGAGGATGTGGAAAAACTAGAATCCTCATACATTACTGGTGGACACATAAAACGATGCATTTGGAGAACAGTGTGGCAGTTCCTTAAAATGTTAAACAATGGAATTACCACATGACCCAGCAATTCTAGTCCTAAGTATCTACCTAGGAGAAATGAAAACATGTGTCCATAAGAAGAAACTGTTCAATAATGGTCACAGCAGTATTATTCATAATAGGCAAAAAGTGGAAATGACTTAAATGTCTACCAATTGATGAAGAGATAAGTAAAATGTGGTATCCATACAACAGACGATTATTTGACAATACAAAAGAATGAAGTATTGATACACGCTACAAAATAGCTGAATCTTGAAAACATTATACTAAGTGAAAGAAGCCCGTCACAAAAGACCACATGTTATGATTCTATTTATATGAAATGTCCAGAATATGCAAATCCAGAGACAGAAAGTAGATTAGTGTTTTCCTAGGCTAGAGGGTGAGAAGTAATGGAACTGCCAATGGGTGTGGGTTTCTTTTTGGGGTGATGAAAATATCCTAAAATTGACTGTAGTAATGGTTGCATAACTCTGAATATACTAAATCTCACTGAACTGCATACTTTAAAAATGAGTGAAACGTATAGTATATAAATTATATCTCATAAGGATGCAAACAAAATAAAGTGTTCAGTCCAGTACCCGACAGTGTACCATAGGTTTAGTTATGATTATCTATAAAATGCATTGTCAGACACATCACAGTAGAAGATAGTAACTTCTACTTTTATAGGTGTGTTTACCATTTGTCATATTCAATCATGGATATTGTCTCAAAATGGAAATTTTCCAAATCAGGAGTGACCGGGCCTAATACCAGCGATGGCTCATGGAGGATCATATGCAGTAAGTGGTCAGGGTCAAAGCAGCCAGGAGGAGGGTACTTCTCACTGACGTACCCTTATCACTCTCTACCAATTTAGATCTGGCCCCTGGGGAGTTCTACTGAGCAGGGAGGGCTCAGGAGGAGAAAGTGGAGAAACTGCCCAAGAAGGGAACAGGCAATAAATACTTCAAGGACCAGATTTGGAGAGGGCAAATATGTAAAGGGGGACCTTTTGGGGGGAACATGGGGAAGATAAGAGAAGCAGGCCAAACAAAATAAAATGACAAAAAGAAGGCAAAATGATACAGGCTGATATGGTGGTAAAAAGCAAACAGCTGAAATGTAAACTATCAGATTAAAAAATGGCTACAGTGTTCATTTCCTTCATTGTACCCAAAAAACACTCCTGGAGGAGATGAGGGGGCAAAGAGGATTTAAAGTTTTACATGGGAAAAAAGGAACAAAAGGCACTTCGTAAAAAGTCTTTAAAATGTTGATACTTTCAGAAAGTCATGCTATACCACACTTCTAACAGTTCAGATTGAGAAATCTATAGACTTAACATTATTGCAGAATTACTTAGAAATGTAAATAATAATAGGAAACATTTATTGAATGTTTACCATGCACTGAAATGATTATTTCCTAATCCTCATCCTAGTCCAATGACATGGATACTATTAAAAATCTCATTTTAAAGAGGAGGTAACTGAGGTACAAAGATTAAGTAACTTGCTCAAGGATGGGAAATATACAAGTGGCAGAGCTGAGATTTGAAATCAGGTGCCTAATTCCAAAATCCAGAAATTTATCACTATATCAGTATTCCCAAGAAATCATTTTAGATGGAACAAACTGGACCATCTTATATTAGTGTTTACATATAATAAAACACAAATTTCACAATAACTAATATAAAGCTTTCTTTTGGAATAAATACATTAAAAAAAAAATGTTAGTCAATTTTTATAAAGAAAGCAGCCTAATGTGTAGAAAGAAACATGGAAAAGTAAAATTAGACTGATTTTCTGAGAAGGAAAAATTTTGTATCCCTTTAAAAATTTTTCTTGGCGTTCTAATGTTCCTAAAATGTGTAAAAAAAAAAGAACATTAAAAAGTATTTCTGTTCTAATCTCGCAAAACATACGTATATTTTATGAAGTACATTTTCCATTGGTTCATCCCACAAAATTTTAATATGCCTACCACTCAGCTCCCTCCTACTTCTGAGTGAGCCTCTTTCTCCCTCAGGAAGTAAATTCCTGACATTTATCAGGTCTTTTTTCTTCATTTTATCCTATCTTATCCTAAAGCTCCAAGGCCACTTAACTATTTATTAAAAAAGCCCAGAAATTTTCCACAATGAAGAGACCTGCAGAGAATCTGGTAGGCATATGCAGGTAGTTTTAAAAAGGCAAGAGTTACTGTGTTATTCCTTGAGGGTTCCTCTATATCTGATATGTTGTCCACATCTGGCACCCAAACAATTGGAAACTCCAATTGGCAAAGGCAGAAGGACTATATTTCATCCTGATCCCCAAAGGACCAAAGACCTAGCCCAGGTACTTCTGTACTCTGATGAGATACCTCTAATGCACTGGAGATAGTATGCACAAACAAAACCATCTCTGGCTTTTCCATACAGTGAACAGAACTCAGAACTCTTAACGCCTTTGGGCAAGTCCTCTGATGGCTAAGAGGCCACCTTACTATCAACTCCCAGATGCTAGCCTCCAGGCCAAGGCAAACCTCACCCACCTGTGCATGTTCCCATTGGTGGTAAAAGACTGGCCACACACAGTGCACTTGTAAGGCCTCTCGCCAGAGTGAACCAGCATGTGGCGGTCCAGGGAGCTGGCCGAGCTCAGCGACTTCCCGCAGATGCTGCATGAATGGTCTGCTCCTCCAGTGTCCGTGTTGTGCTGCAGAAAGCAATCACAGTGGTCACTTAAGAAGATGGGTCAAACTTGGTAATGAAAATCCAGAGCTTTATTAAAAACACCAGTGAAGCTTCTTAGTTATTTTTTTGTTTCATTTTAAATACCTCCCTGAATGTCAAAATCTAGCAGGAACAAAGGCAAATAAATACTTTGTATGGTCTTCTTCTACTCCCATGTTCCGTTTTGAAAAATACTTCTGCCAAGGCTGAGAGAGAGGTGGAATCTTTGAAGGTCTTCCTTGAAGACACATACAGATTAACTGACCACATATATTAACATGAACAGGAAGACTCTCAAGTATGAAATACGGTCCTCACATTAAGTATCAAAGTCCATTCATCAGCTTTGATGACCCAGTCTTGCT